ATGTTCTGGAAGATCAAAGCACATGGCTCTTTTTAAAGTCAACATTTCTCAAAAGAATGGGAGGATGGCTGTGGCGCAGTGTATAGAAGAGGCACAGAGGTCATGGCATGGGCTAGAGTGCCTTCCTTCAGTCGTCTGGAAGCATATTCAAAGACACATAAAATTATGTCATCTGGATCTGCTGGGAATATGTGAGGACAGGGCCAACTGTTACTACCTCTATCAGAAACATAAAGCTGTGAGGTTGGTAGAAATGGTAACAATTCTCATCAATTCCAAATTAACAGAAAAGATATGAACACTTTTCACAACTGACAATGTGATTCTAAACAGAAAGGGAAGGGAGGATAAACTTAAAATAAGCAAGGAGTCTCTTAAACCTGAGACTGTCCAAATAAACAAAAAATTAGAATATTCAATTCAATAAACATTGACTTTGGTGTTTAGCAGAAGAGGAGACATATTGTTAAAACAAATAAATATTTTAAAATTTCCAGTGAAGGGCAATGCTTGTGGACTAGAAATGCCAGTAGAGGCAGCTTGTGCTTAATTTACTGAAAGCCTTTAAAATCAGTCTCGAACAATAAAATCCCAATTTAAAGTGATTTGGATTCTTACATACTTTAGAGGGAATGGATGAGAATTTTTTTAAAGGCGCAAGCACTTGTAGTTTCTCACAGAAAGATACCAAATAAGGCTAAGACTTTATTATCTCCATCAAATTAGAAATCAAACACCACACTGCCTTTAGAATTTGGGACAGTACCTAATGAAGGATTCAATTAAATTTTGCTCTTAATAAGCACACATATATATATTCCATGCACATAGATGTGGAATATGTAGTCTTTGTTCCTATTTTCCACTCACTGCTACAACTCAAAAAATGAAATAGAAATAAAGTAGAATTAGAGAAAATAATGATTATCACTTATAAATATTATTAGCCTTGGCAGTAATTAAGTAGTTAGCAACTAGAATCCAAGGATATTACCCAAATTTGTTTTATATATTTGATATTCTTATCTTTTCTATAAGCTGTTGAGGCATTCGCCATTTTTATAACAAGAAATATTTATCACAGATATATTAAGTGCTTAATACTAAAGTTATTTTATATTCTTTGTGCAACATACAAATTAAAGGACCTGTAGAAGTAATGCAGTACATGAGAGAAAAAATGAGATTAAAAACTTAATTTCCCAATTTAGGTTACCTTTATAAATACATGTTATTGATATAACTAAGGTGCTACAGGTGTTTTCATTTAAACAATTATAATCAGAGAGTGCTGAAAATATGTTATCACCATCCTTTATATGTACTCTGTCAAGTTTATTTCATTCCTTGAATTGTTCCAAATATATTTATATAATGTATTCACCAAGGACTTTTTGAATTACCACTATGGAATCCACCTGTGCTAAGATACTGGGAGGTATAACTCTATAGGGAAGAGTGGGAAATAAAGCTATATACACAGTATATATAAAGCCATTTCATGAAGTTCTCAAGTGCTAAGGAATAGGACCTTCATCCTATAGTACAGAGTAACATTGGTGAATTTAATGAAAAGAAAAACTGGAGTTAGATATTTGAATCTGGGATAACATTTTGAACTTTAGTAATAGGTGAACTACAGTACCATTTAAACAAACAGCAAAGTTGAGAAGCGACATGCTTTAGGGAAACCTCATGAGATGATCCTTCCTTACTTTGCACGTATCTCTCTAAATGTATCTTCACTTGCTAAAATAATTATTTGTTTAAAGGTCTCCCTCCAGCCCCAGTTTGTGAGGTTTTTAAGTAGAAGGAATACTTCATTCATCTTTGCACTCTCCAAAATACATCTTGGTACCTGGCATTCATTAGACACTAAATGTTTGTTACATGCATGGGCATATAATAAAGGATGAAATGTCTTCTACGGCATGGAATGGAGAAAGAGATTTGGGATCCAGTCACACAGAAGTGCAGTAGTGTCTACTGTAAGTCTAGCCTCAACCTGCACATAGAAATTGTTTAAGTATTTCTTACAGGAAGGAATGTGTGTATGAATAAATAAATGAATTAATGATACAATCAGTTCAATGAAGGAATAAATACATTAAGAGAAAATGGATAAAGTCTGAACTTTGGAAAAGTACTAAAAAGTAATAAGCTAGAGAAAGAAAAGCACTCAATGATAGGCTCAGAAGAGGAATAGTTAAAAGAAAAAAAAAACACAAGAAAATGGGGTGTCCATAAACAATAATAATGTGCTACATTTCTACAGCACTTTCACATTATTTTAATTCTGATAACAGTCCGGAAAGATAGGGGGATAAGGTTTTATTATGCTTGTCTTTTTAATAGAGGAAGAAACTGAAGCCCAGAAAGGTTAGGTGACTTAGAGGATTTCAAATAGAAAGAAATATTTAACATTGTCAAATGCAGAAAATAGGATGATAATGCAGAAAAAATGTCATAGATTTGGCATGTAGTCCATTGAAGCCTGTGCAAAGTGAAGTGAGGTTGGGAAGGAAGGAAGAAGAGGGGTGGGAAGGCAGGTCAATGTTTTAAGTGTTAGAAATAAATATATTAAATCACATAGTATCACATATGTGATAATCACAAAAATGTCACACATAAATCATCACATAGGTATGAGAATGGAACAAGATTTAGGGTAGAAGAGGGAGACATGAATAGCTTATTTTTTTACCTAAGATTTCTTAAATAATGAAAGTAAATTCCTCATTGTCCACAAATAACTCAAAGAATATTTCACTTAACACATGACTTTACTTATCTTGAATTCTCATTTTCCTAATATATCCCTGTTCACTGAGATCTCAAAAAGAAAAAAAAAAAAGTCTTATCATCTTGGGTAAGATCTTGGTAAATTTTTTTATATTTTTCTTGGTAAAATTCTGACAATTACTGATGCCCTTTCCCCCTTTCTTTAATGTTTTCCATTCAAAAAAACAGTTCTGAAAACATTTTGATGGGAAGAGAGGCATGAATGCTATCTAACCTTCTAGCTCTTCCAGCTTCCCTCTCACTTGGAAAGTAGCTTCTTATTCACATAAACATTGAAAGGCCCTGAAAGCACAGGTAATTCTATTTAAGGATTAATTTATTTCTATTTATTTCGTGTCAGGAGAAGGAAGGGGGCAGAAAGGAAAGCGAAAGACCATTTTTTTCCTTGATTTCTCTAATGTATATGGGTAGTATATGTGAAATACGGGAAGAAACATACAAGTAAATTCTGGAATAAAATACATAAATAAATTAATACATAAATAAATTCTGGAATGGTTTTGCAAATAAAAATCACTAGACTCAAACTTTCTTACACTTCATATTTTAAATACTAAATTAAGGGGCACCTGGGTGGCTCAGTCAATTAAGCATCCGACTTTGGCTAAGGTCATCGTCTTGTGGTTCATGGATTCAAGCCCTGCATTAGGCTCTGTGCTGACAGCTCAGAGCCTGAAGCCTGCTTCGGATTCTGTGTCTCCCTCTCTCTCTGCGCCTACCCAACTCACATTCTGTCTCTCTGTCTCTGTCTCTCTCAAAAATAAACATTAAAAAAATTAAATACTAAATTAAGCAAAAGCTATTTTCTATGATCTTGTGAGTCATATCTACTTATGTTTGTTTAGGAAAAAATACATTTTTCTTAATGTTAGTTAGAGATGTCAGTTGTGAAACATAAATTTAGATGGGTAAGATAAATTAGTTTTTGATAAGTGAATCATCAACAGAATTGCTAGTTAAATATGACTCAACTTTTTACTCAGTTTTTGGTGATGTGCTGAGTAGTAAGAACAGTATGATTTTTTAGATGATAGAATATAATTTATGCGTTTTTCTTTTTTCTCTTTTCCTGAACACAGTTAATGATAAACAAACCACACTATGACTGTGTCTACATATCACATAAACATCTAGATGAAAAGTGACAAATTCGGGCCATCATCCAGCTATTTGAAAACATTTATCTTGATGACATTAAACATCTGGATGTTTCCAAATACCAAGATGTTTGATGTCCTGCAGATAAAATATCCTGATGACTGGTTGAATTTTTTACTTATCTGCTGCATAAAAATGCACATTTGCTTGCATATATCTCTTCCTATTTCAGACACAAAATGTAATTTTAGCATGGATATAGTAGGGAGTCATAGGATCTGTCAGGTTTAGATTTTTTTTGCTGTTATTGTTACTCATAATGAATGTCTGTCTTAGAAAAACATCTTTTATTTTACTTTCAGTAAATAAAAGAGTTAATCATTTAAACAGTGTGTATTAAAAGGTAAAGAATTTGCAAAATAAAGGAACATAGGTACCTATGCTTTCATCTACAATAAGCCCTCAAAACACTGGGTTTGGGGGAAATATAACACAAAATACTCTTAATTGATTAACTTATTACTCACTTGGAATATTATATAAGACATTTCCCTTTCTTATCTTTCTGTTAAAAGCATTTTTTTCTTCCTTAGCATGTCCATTTATGCCATCCAGATGAAGTGACAGGAATTCAAACTTTCTAATTTGATAATTTTGATGTTTCTAGCGATGGCTTGGCATGAGGACAGTAGTACACATGAATTCTATTTTTGCCTATTCATTAGGTCTTAATTTGTCTGAATCATTGAAGATTGGCTGTTACAACTTCTCTGTCACATTTTCTTACTCCAGGTCTAATTGAAGAAAAGCCATTCTTACAGAGGAAACAGGCAAACGTTTATTACAAAACGGACTATGTATTTTGATTATCAGCTTAAAAGAAAGATTAATGTTATTTTCAATCCCCACCACTTTAAAAATAATTCTGTATAAGCATTAAATGCCATTTCTAAGCCTTTTAAATCAAGATTGCTTGGATTTCATACTAGAAGAAGAAAATGAATGTTAAAGTGGAAAACAATTCCCTGAAAGGTGGAAACTCTTATGGCACTGAAATAACAGACAATTGCATAATGCATTTCAGCTCCCGAGAACTCTACCTGTAGGATCACTCAGAACTGAACCAAAGGCACTGATGACCACATCGGCTCTCAGATGGACTAGCTCATCTTCATGTTCATTCCAGTTTCCCATTTCATCTTGCTCTGTCCGAACAAACTGCATAGCAACAATTCTCCCTCCTTTTACTATAACCTTCCGTGGGGACAGGAAAGGCAAAAATTCACACCTTTTTTCCTTAGCAAGCTCCACCTAAAAAAAACAGAACAGAGGAGAAGTTGACAATGTTTCTTCTCCATTTAATACTTGGTTTTAAATTCAATTATACATGCTACAGCTTCCGATGCTTAAATCAACATAAAGCTTTTTCTTTCACCAAAGCTGATGTTCAGTTATCAGCTATTTACATTTTGCAAATCACTGACTCAAGGGAGTCTTAAGTAGACTGGAGTTGTCATGTGGAAGTTTACAGAGAATGGCATCACAAGATATTTCTCAAGTTTTAGGGACACCATACCCTATGGTTGGTGGCATATAAAGTTTTTGCCTGTAGCAAAAGTCTGGTTTTCCATATGCTTTCATTTATGTAGGCTTAACTTCTCTTTTCATTCATGCCACATATGAAATTAAATACTTCTGATCATTACCAGGTTGCATATATCTAAACTGGAAAAAAGTCAATCAAGTGGGTGAGCCAATCTCTGCAAATGCATGATTTAAATGGTAGGTAGAGGAAAGAAGACTGAGAAACTGTGGGATCAAGAAACAAGTAACATTTAATCTTACTTTTGTAAAAATGCAAATGAAAAATTTAAGAAAGAGAAACAAGTATGTTCTTCTTGACAAATTCCCAGTTAATCCACATCTATTACTCATTTATTCTGCTATAAAATGGGACACGCTGGTTTTTGTTTTCATGCCCATAATGGGATGCCTATCAAGACAGAATGTAAATATTTACTTATTATTTATTTTTCCATTTATTGTTTTTTTGGGGGGGGATCCAGGCCTTTGTCAATGTAACCCTAACTAGTATATTAAGTGTATTTTTCAAAAATTGTACTACTGAAGTGGATGAGGGATTGTCAAATCTCATTCCTTCCCTCCCTCATGGAAGACAGGTGGGTTCTTAGTAGGACCCCTGACAAGTGAGATTAAGAAGGTTGTTTGTGTAAGGTTCCATACAAGGAGTTGTCTGGCACCAACAAGATGGAAAAACTGAGACATAAAGTGACTTGCTTTATGTTGTGATCAAATCATAGACCCACTTCTGGGCACTCTGTCCATAATTAGTGGTTCCAAACTTTGGCATGCATCAGTGGTTCCAGAACTTTGGCAAGCTGGGGGGCTTGTTAAAACTAATTGCATGGACCCACCCTCAGAACTTTTAGCTCTATAGGATTAGATGAGGCCTGAGGATCTGAATTTCTAACAAAGTCCTAAGTGATGCTATGCTGCTTGTCTAGAAATGACAATTTGTGAACCATGGTCTTATCAGATTATATCTGACTGGGTATGGTCTATACCATGCATTCTTTTTGAGAGTAATATCATCCATAAGGGAGCAAAAATTTATTGAAGAAGGAAAAAATCTTAGATGTCAAAATTGAATTTGTGATAACTCCCCCCCCATAAGAGCAATAATATATAAACAAATATACAGGATATCTATATTATTAAATTTACAGTGTGTTTGTGTGTGTATTGGGGAGGGTTAATTAGGAATAAAAGTTTATGAAGACTCACTAAAGGGATAACTTAAAAAAACAAAAACAAAATTGAGAAACACTGGTCATTCCTGTATATTGGCACAAAGCTATTCAGCCTATGTTTTATTTATGCTTTGAATATTGGCTTTAAAGCCTTGAAAATTGGACCACATAAATTATTACTGCAAAATATTTCCCTTTTCTTTATAAATTAAGAGATTACCAATATGAAAAATACTAGATATTAGGTATATTGTGGGTAGTAAGTATCAAAACAATGGATCTTAAACTGTGCACTGTTTAGACAGGAAAATTAGGAGTAAGTGGAATTGAATCAGGTTTGAAACCGGCTTCTAATGCTTACTTGGGAGAGTCAGTAAATAAATCTCTCTGATCTTCAGCCTTCATATATGTAAAATGGAAATAAAAACTAATTAGTTAGTATGTGGTGTTATTTAAAGCAATTTAGAAATGTAAAACACCTAAAACAAAACTTAACATATAGAAAGTGCAAGTAAATACTATTTATTTGTAGTTTCAATTTTTTGTATTTTTTTTAATGTTTACTTATTTTTGAGAGAGAGACAGAGACCAAATACAAGCTGGGGAGGCGCAGAGAGAGAAGGAGACACAGAATGCAAAGAAGGCTTCAGGCTCCTAGCTGTCAGCAAAGAGCCCAAAGTGGGGATTGAACCCATGGACCATGAGATCATGACCTAAGTCAAAGTTGGATGCTTTATGCACTCAGCCACCCAGGTGCACTTGTAGTAAATTTTCTGAATTCACTTTTCCCCTGAAAATCATTCTTCAAACTATTCAATACCACTTAGCAATAGGATTATGAATGCAATAGAAAGGTGACCCAAGAGCAAAGGTAAAAAAAAAAAAGGGAAAGAAAAAGGCAAAGAATTTTAGACTCTGTTTTAATTTTCAACAAAATAAAATGTATGATTTCTAGAAGGCAAAGTATTCCTTGAATAGTTCTTTTTTTTTTTTTTTCAACGTTTATTTATTTTTGGGACAGAGAGAGACAGAGCATGAACGGGGGAGGGGAAGAGAGAGAGGGAGACACAGAATCGGAAACAGGCTCCAGGCTCTGAGCCATCAGCCCAGAGCCCGACGCGGGGCTCGAACTCAGGGACCGCGAGATCGTGACCTGGCTGAAGTCGGACGCCAACCGACTGCGCCACCCAGGCGCCCCGAATAGTTCTAATTACAAAACAAATCTGGCTCCATAAAGAAGATAGGTTTCCTGCGTCACTTTTGTCATACTTACATTATGTAGCGCCTTATAACTCATCAATATAAACCAGTTTATTGTGCTTCAAAACTGTAAAGTGATGCTAAATTTTAATGATAATTCCAAACTTGATTGAATAACAATGACAAGTATTTATGGTTTCAATAAATCAATACATGATACATATTTAAAATAGTACTTTTTTCTGCAAAGGGCAGAAATAAAATCCTGAACTATGCTGCACGTATTGTGAGCATGTCTCAGACTGATTTAGGATCTATTTTGTCCCATTCTACTTTTTATGTCTCTTAATACTTAGATAGTATCTATTATTCTCTGTAGATAATCTCATATAATTTTTGGAAAATTTGGCATCAAATTTAAAAACAAAATTGGGATTATTTATTTTCTGTTTAAAGAAATTCCTCTATATTTGGAGGGGCTAAGATGGTGGAACAGCATGGAAGGTTTTTTTGCATCTCTTGTCCCTGAAATGGAGCCAGATCAACACAAAACCATCCTGCACACCTAAAAAAACTGATTTGAGAATTAACACAACAATCTGACAAACTGAACCACAGAACTCAGCAGGTATGCAGCATGGAGAGGTGAACTTGGGGAGAGAGGAGTCATGGAGGGTAGGGAGCTGTTTTTGCTTGCAAAGAGAGGAAGGAGATGGGGGGAGAGTATGGGAAAAGCAACCCCCCACCAAAAGCAGCTACAGAGAAAGTGGAAAAGTGGGAACAGTTGCAGGGACTGAAAAAAAAAGGGAGTAAGGAGAAAAGAGACAGTTAAATTCCATTAAGACTCTATAAACAAGGGGAATGCAGAGTCTGAAACTCCACAGTTCGATATCTGGCAGAGCTCTGGTGGGAAGAGCGAATACCAAGGAGCAGAGAGCGAGCTCCAAGGGTCCTTGGGGCACACAGGGAGAGGCAGTTCCCCTGCTGAGAGGACATTTGGTAGAGACTGTGCAGCCTGCCCACAGGCAAAGGTCCCAGAGGACCCCAGAGAACAACCACATTCACTGGTGTTGGAACAAGGACCTTAAGTGGGAAGCCTGGCACTAGGTGTGTGTTGTGATTTTCCATAAACCCTGAAGCACTAGTGCTACAAGACTGCGTGAACTTTTTCTGGGGTGGGCTGCCACCCAGCCACAGTCTCTGGTCATTGGCAGCAGCACAGTCTTGAGAACATTCCTAGGAGTGGGTTGGCACCCAGCCATTGCTCAGCAAGACCCACCCCCAGAAGATCTAAGCAGGTCAAAGCTGCAGTTCCTCAGAAGTGAGGGGTTGGGAAACAGAACCACATCTGAGATAAAACTCAGGATGGAGGTGCCACCTGGCAGCCTGACAGCTTGGTCACAGACAGTGTAGAAGCAGGGAGTGGATGGAAGCTGGAGACAAAGGAGGGGTGCTTGATTGCCAGACATGGAGAGCACAGAGTTCTGATACTAGAGACTGGGTAGCTGGTCACCCCTCCCACACATGCGCATACACACCTACACATGCCACAGCAATCCATCCAGGTAAGCTAAGCAGCACCATCCAGTGGAGAAGGAAGGTGTTACACTAAGCCCTGCCCAACTTGACTAGGGTTTGTCAAGGCCTCTAGAAAAACACAAGTCTCTTGGGGCGCCTGGGTGGCGCAGTCGGTTAAGCGTCCGACTTCAGCCAGGTCACGATCTCGCGGTCCGTGAGTTCGAGCCCCGCGTCAGGCTCTGGGCTGATGGCTCAGAGCCTGGAGCCTGTTTCCGATTCTGTGTCTCCCTCTCTCTCTGCCCCTCCCCCGTTCATGCTCTGTCTCTCTCTGCCCCAAAAATAAAATAAAAAACGTTGAAAAAAAAAATTAAAAAAAAAAGAAAAACACAAGTCTCTCCACCTGCTTAGTATATGGACTATAAAGTGCTTTATAGCTTGACTTCTATGGGAAAACAGATGTACTTTCAATCATACTTCATTCTGTCTGTTGGTCATTTCATTCAATTCTTTTTAATTTTTCTTTTCCTATTTTTGAATACAGAAAAAGAAAAAACTTATTTTCCACTTTTATTTAAAATATTTTTCTTTATTTTTTTTCTAATCTATGTTTTACATTTTTGTAAATTTTTTTTTTTTAATTTTTTTTTTTTTTCAAACGTTTTTTATTTATTTTTGGGACAGAGAGAGACAGAGCATGAACCGGGGAGGGGCAGAGAGAGAGGGAGACACAGAATCGGAAACAGGCTCCAGGCTCTGAGCCATCAGCCCAGAGCCCGACGCGGGGCTCGAACTCACGGACCGTGAGATCGTGACCTGGCTGAA